TCTGGATCGCGGAATGAACCACCAGGGCGGTGGTGGCAGCAGCCAACACTGGTAAGTAATTTCGTTACTGTGTACAGTGTACGGTCAGAGAAGTTGTTCAGTCTACGTGTTTATATTTCCAAGTGATTGAAACGATATGATATAACTTATACAATTGATTCCCTGACGTTTAGATATGTGTTACCCCGCCACCTTTACTGTTCTATCGAATATATGTCTGTACCAAGATCGTACATTTTGTCTATTTTCTTATTTTTTATTGAACGCTATGGTCTTTTTATTTTAAACATGAACAAAATGTTCTCATATTTATTTGAGTTTCCAGGAAAAGTAAGAACAACTTTGACATATTTTAATATATCTGCGTTAGTGAGTTAAGAATATTCCTCATTGAAAACTTAACACGTCTATATTATTTGACATATATATTCCTATAGAAAATCAACATTATCTTGATTACGTGTAAGAACCTAGTGAACAACAGTATATTAATCTTTAATGATTTTAAAGGAAATTCGTCATTAATAAAAGTTAATTTGTGCATAACAAAGCATTGTGTGTGTAATAACTGAAAAACGGAAACATTTATCTATTGTATTATTAAGGATGGTAAATAAATATACGACGAACTCAGTTTCACGAATAATTCCTTAGATTTTCATACAAAGGAAATCATTTCTTAGAGTAAGGAAACTCTAGTAATGCCTTCCTATGGAAACAGTCATTACACTTGTTCGACTTAGAGCAGTATGATGAGGACTAACTATGAAGAGATACCTCTTACTTACCTTCTAATTATATACATATAAGTCTCTTAAAGAGCTGTATAATAGCGAAAGGCCTCGATAAACGGTGTTCGTGTGGGTTTTTAAGTTTAAATTGATGATATATAATATTTTGTATAAATAATCGATTTCTCAATACTGTCGTATCAGGATATTAACATATGAACAGGGGTCTTTGATTACCTACGACAAGTCGTACAGGTGCAATCACAGCTGTGTATCTTATGTTCATCATACACATATAAATAGGGTCATATTTACTATTTTTGTAATTATCTAAATTCAAATTGTTATAAAAGCCTCGAATTTGAAATCAATGTATCATTAGAAATTCCGAGGGAAATGTATCGCAGATCACTATATTTTATGTCTCTGTATAACCACAGACTTAGATAATTCCGTGGTATAACAAAATAATTAATATTCGTTCGTATAGTATTTCTTTTTGTTTTCGAAAAGCATGAGTTCAATGAGGCATGTTACATATCCCGATGTTAACATCAAAACATCTCCGACCACTACAATTCTACGATGTTTATATTGTTTAACTAAATAATACTTATAAAAAATATTATTTTGTTTATAATATATATATCAATTCTGAAAAGTTCATCAAATAATCAAATACATCAATAATTTAAGTTAGCTTAGTGTATAGCAAAACTAGCATAACTTATCCAGAAAATCAACACAAAAATCAAAATTCTTGGAACACAAGGTTAATTATCAAGACATTTGTGTTTGAAGAAATCATAGATTAAGTTAAAATTCTAGAAATCATTTATGAAGCTCAAAAGTAAACAACAAAAAATGATATTTACCTTACTTAAGTTTATTTATATATGTAACCACCACATGAATCATATATAAAACAGAAAAGTTCATAATTTTCCTTTTTAGATTATAAAAAAAAAAAATGATACATAAATATGTCTATAGTCCCCACAAGAGGATGAATGGGCAATACAAATTCCTTGGTTTCTTAAGTATAATAAAAATAATTGCAATACATGGTGATATTTAAATGAGTTATTGAAGAGGATAAAACGTATTTATTGCACGTGCTTTATTAATATCATTTTGTTTTGTTTCAATTTTGGAAAGAGTTGAAGGTGAATTTGGTACTGGAGGGAATATAAATAATGTACACACAGTCGGTTTCTCAACCTCACATCAAACCCCCTCAAACACAAGCAAGTATCATATTCCATAAATATAAGGTAATTGTATTTTTTTGTCACTATCCTTAAATTAATTACAGCTCCCTATCACAAGAAATATTTAAGAAAGGATTTACTTTGGAATACCTTTCAGGTCAATTTGTGAAAATACTAGTCTAGCTTTGTAGGTGATTGAATACAGAATGTTTAATAGTTTATGCTTCTGACTGTTGCCTTATCTATCCTACTAGCCATACAAATACATTTAATTTCTCCTTAATTAAAAATCATAATGCTCTTGTTAAATTATTTAACCATTCCGCGGTGATCTAATAGCATTACATATGAAGAGTATGTGTGTCCCCCTCCCGTCCTGGGGATAGCGTAACAGTTTGTATACTAGCTGTTGAATACAAGGAGTTTGATGACGCATCGCTATTGATTCTCACTCAAGTACGGTTATGCCTTTCTTATTTCCTAACTTCTGCAAGCTTGCACTTAATTGTTGGAAAGGGAAAAAATGCAATGCTATTACCAGATAATATGATTTATAAAAAATCTCTCGTATTTGCTGATCATTCCTGTATATGTCTAGTTACGTTGATCCTTCTTTGATGTCGGCTTTAGATGTATTACTTTGAAGCGTGGTTCTAGGATAAAGACGAAAGTATATATTAAAAATACATTTTATACCACCAGAATGCCAACGCTTTTTTCAATTTCTTATAAAAAGGGGGCCAGGTGACAAAAAAAACACACGTCAATTCCATAGTACAGTGTTATTTTGATGTTTTTTGACAGCATTCTTTTTTTCGAAAGCAGACGCTTAGGTGAAAATACCTTCGTTATTGCTGTAATGATTTATTCAAAACGTAAATTCAAGAGCTGAAAAATAAGCTTGAGCGTTTGTTAAACTCAGCATTTCTCCTTCGTTATCAGAGTACAGTGAGGGGATCAAATTAATACGATCGTCCAAAGCCTTGTAGCCCCAAACCAGAACCTTAGCATTTCTTTTTAAAATTTTCTTATTTTCAATCTGAATGCAAAATTCATTTTATAAAGAGGATCGCATTTATAATACATTATTATAATCTCTTCTTGTGTCAATTAAAGCTTTGTGTAGATTAATAATTGATTTTATATATTGGTGTTAAGCTAACAAAGAACGTAGCTGAAATTAAGGCGGGCTGATTGGGATGAGTCATCGGACTGCGATAGATGTATCGGCTCTCGTAGTGCTCACACCACAACTTTACGTCATAGCAAAAACAATCAATGGGGCCCCAGTCAAATAACACAAATTACCTCATTTGTAGCCGCCAAATCCGACCCCAGTCTCTCCGTGTGTTACCGTGTTTATATATAAACATATATTTATCTGTAGAGCACGTGATTTCCACCTCGACAATGTGCGCGTGCTATCATAATAGTTTTTAGGTGACAGGGACATTCGCCATTTTGTTGTTTTGATGAGAAAATAGAACACTTGCGTATTATTGCGGCGGATCTCTTAATCCAGGGCCAAACTTCATCTGCAGTTACAGACGAAGGTTAATTTCAATCCTTAATGTTTTGAAAAGAAATAAAAACAAAAACATAAGTCCTTCAGTAATTCCAAATTGCCAAGAAAAATCAGTAAGGATGTGATTTGTAAAGAGATTATTTGCCGTCGCGTCAGTTTATGAATCATCATTTTAAATTTTACACCGACATTTACGCAACCATGCAGGCTGATTGTCATTAATGTGTGCTTGATACCTTATAAATACAACATTTTACACGTACTATATATAATACATCTCAAGTTCAGTAAGAAACAGGATATATTCTGTTATTGTGTAAATAATGATATACGAATATGCGGAGAATTAATAGGTATAACATGTCATGATATTAGTGTGATGTTTGACAATTTTCAAGAAATATTTCCGAGACAAAGTGCAAAGTCTGTTCTTACCAAACAGCATATAATTTTAATCTTGAATTGGTATTCATTTGTTTTATTCAGTTATTGTATTAAATATGGTCAGGTAACGATTAATCAGGGCTAACATTTTACTTAAAACCACACAGATGTGCTTATTGTTGTAAAAAGGATACATGGTATATAAATACAGAAATGGGTGATTGGGTGTTAGAATAAACTGGTACAAAAGTATTTTTTCTGTTTTGTTTAATGTTTTTTGTTTCTTTATGATTTCTTGATTTCTTAATTATCATAGTTATGTGTACGTGCCTAATATCATTACATTATCAATTTCGTATCAGATTCTATAAAAACAGGTATATTGGTGCAGGTTCTGTTAACAAAGAGACGTTTTCTGAAACACATTTGTGGTTAATGATGAATAGAAATGTTCTGGATTGAAACTACCAGTATCACATTCATAGATCTAGGTGTACCCTTAACACATACTTACATTACTTAAACACGCTTGTACACCGATTGAACTGTACATCAATTTATATAACAATCTTGAGCTGCATCCAAGCCCGATATTGCTAATGCGAACATTTCTTTTCAAATCGACTTATACGCGAGTATAATTTGTAGAGTATGTTTACTGTGCTTGAAAAATATCAACGGCTTTATTCCAAAATTCTCAAGCGATGTCGATTTGCTTACGTGAAGTCGATCATATTAGCAAAGAAGGATCAAATTTCTTTTAAAGGAATAAGAAAACAAACTGCCAAATCTCCTTCAAAATAATAATAATCAGCAGACAGATAGAGAAGACATTACACCTGTTTATTTGCAGACTTTTTTTCTATCCTTTACCTGAAAACAGTTTTGCACAATTTGTCCGTTTCTCCCATCAACGAGTATCAGAAAAGTGATGGTGGGATACCTTGCGCGAGTACTTAACTTCTAAATTTTAAGAAATACGACTTTCAGCTACTTTTCTTTTAAAATAACTAAGAATTGGAGAAATAGTATTTGTTCTGTGATCCCACATCGTCCCGTAGCTACTGTCCAATCCTATTAAAATGGTAGATACTATGACATTATAGTATGAACAATTTGCCTGGTTATTTAAAGACTTCAAAACAAGCGTGTTTCAAGATAATTTTAATTTTCTGAAGCTTAATTGTGCAACGTATAATTCATTTGTTTGCATTACAAAATTTCAAAAGGTGCAATCACCTGCGTGTTTGTTATGTTCATCTAAACCCTTTCACCCCTATGTAACTTTAGTAGACTCTACCATGCATTGATCTGGATGAGTCCATTATGGTCTACAGTGGTGAAAGGGTTAAATCAGACAGTTGGCCAACGCAATGCAACGGATTTATATATAAAAAGTGTTTCAACCATATTATACTCGTACCCTTTTCCATATGTGTTAATACAATTAACTTTAAAAAAGTCACATTTAAATTCTGCTTTTAAAGTGGACCACTTTAAAAGTGTAACAAGTAGAAAGTACGATACATACATTTTATTTGCAATTAGTATACATTATATCATACTTTACAATATGTTACTTCATCCTTAGTGACAATGCATCAACGGAATCTCTTGATTTCAATTAATCAAAGCATTCTGATCAATTGTTTTAGTCTACGTTTACGGCCAGTTTGTACTTTGCACAGATGGTAAATCAATTAGAAACAGAAACGTGTCAACAATATAACCTTGATATATGATTCCATTTAGAAGTCATTCTGTATAAGTACAACAATGAGTGTTCACTAGTTTCCCTAAAATAATAAAAAATAAACGTTTCCAACTCATTCACATCCAAATATAAAAGTTATATGAAACTGTTTTATAACATGTACTTATTGTATTCACATTCTGACATCCGTAACATCGATTCTGTGAAGCTATCGGGTAAGAAAATCGCAAAATCTTTTCAATACAAAACATTACTGCCTCACTTTTCGCTTACTCTACATTAGTCATAATGTAAAGAAAATGTTGACGGAACACATCGTTGTTTGCACATGCTAAAAGAAATTCATATCTAAGTTAGATTCACGTCAATTCCGTCCGTTATATTTTCAGCTCCGTTTCCTATGATAAATATTAAAAAACACAAATACTTTTGAATTGTAGAAAGACTGTAAGTTTACACAAATAAAAGCTAAAAGATATATGGAAATCTGAGGTATGACGTTCTGTTTTCTCAGCAATTTCTCAAACATGACACCAACTCAGGTCTTTAATGGCTATGGTGTTAGTCTAACGTACGCTTTACCATGTTATTGCGATGATTTAGAAACGATGCCGGGAAAATATTTATTTCATTTTTAAGAGATCCCAACAATTAGCAATTTTCGAATCATGTTTAAAATACTTACTACGATTTGGAATATTTCATATCCACATTGCTTGAAATAATTCTGACAATTTTAGTTGAAGGTATGTTGTTTTCAGAATTATACTGTTGAAGTTCATGGAATACAGGTGACATGTCTTTCCACGGGAACAATATAATGGGATGTGCATGCACTATAATGCATTAATTATATATAATTCATAACAAATTATATCAAGTTTTATTTTCGTTCATAGTACACGTTTGAAGATTTTTTAAAGATTTATTCAATAAGATATGTAACTGGTTAGAATAGAACTGTAAAAAAATAGTTATTCAAACACAAATTACAACTGTTCATATATTTTTAAAATTAAGTATACGAAGTGAGAAAACAGTTCTTGCAGTGCATTTCATCTTCTTGTCCATAGTGAACTTTTATCCTCATCAGAGGTGTGTTTTGCTAGGCTTTCCTCCATCACACAGGTCTCCTCGTCTTACATCGTAATGAACAAACGTTTGTAACAGAAAGTGAGCAGCATGTTTGGGAATAAATCCAAGTAGACCAACTGCTTCCATGTGATATGTAACAGATTGTGGCTCTTAGTCACTATTGTAGAATTCTTGCCTGTGGTGTCTGAATCAGGAGAATGCTATGACCCTTACACCAACGCCTTCCATGTCTCCTTATCTCTATTCTCACGTGATCTCTGCAGCTGAAATAAACAATACAAGTATAGCGATACTTCTATTTACACACTAGCATCGAAATACAAGTGTATATTCAGTTATAGTATATACACTTAAATTTGCTTGGTAACATACAAAAAATCAAGCAAACAATGTTTACCTCCATTTTTTGTTGTTGTCATCAAGCAGTATATCTTTTATTCATGCGGCTTTGTGATCCTGAAATAAATCCATGGTCATATTGCTTACTTTTTATTTGTTTCTTTGTCAGTCTTTCTTTTAAACGATTTAATATGTTTCGACACAAATACTTTAACTGACAAAGATAAAAATTGGATCACGCCAGTGTAAGGTTCATGTCGACAAACCTTTATTATTTAGCAGTGATATTAGAAAGTTGTTTGATGAACTTCCTCTCTCGCAGCGTTCCAGATTTGGGATCATATTTGCCCAGGGGTCCACCAGTGAGTCTGTTTGAGGTACTGTCAACGGCAATAGTGCGACCACTGAATGTCTACAATACAGAAATGTACAACTTTGTATTTCAATACATCAGACCAAATAAGGAGTTTAGACCATGCGCATCGTAATTTTACAGTTCATGGACTTGTTCTGTAAAACAAGAGGCATTCGTATCACACATTCGTCGTCTTAAACAAGATATATTTGTTAAGACGCACATGACAGGTTGTAATGATCGGGAACAAATATGAATACTTTCAAAAGTTTCCGTGCGATCTTTATAATTAGCGCAAAACTAAGTAGTCTGTTTTAAGTTTACATCCGACCACCATGCATGGGACTCTTCAGGCAAATCTTTTAAACATATTAGGTGATTAAACTCAAACTGAATTATCCTATGATATCGGTAAGGACATACAGCATTTACCACATGGAGGTTTTTAACTTGTCTGTGTGTTTAATGCTTATCGGGAAGACAGGACAATCGACCTACATTGGTTTACTAGAGAATTCGATGAGTCAATAATTCTGTCCTTAACACACATAAAGTAATGGTGATAAAAATCTGTAAGGAAATAACACCTTAATTCCTTTCTGAAATATGACCAATAGACCAGTTACTTCCGTGTTAGAAGTTTTCAGTGAATAAATCTACATAGCATATCTCACAAGACACCTCCGACAGGATAAAGTGCTTAAGATACATAAAAACATCGAATTTCTGTTTCACTAAATCCTGAAAAAATCAATGTGCCCCTGACACCGCTTGTATTTATGTGGCGCTTATGGGAAGTCCCTTTGCCGCTTCAATTGAAACAGAGAACTGTGGACAGTCTGGCCATAACACTGGCGGACCTTAGTGACATCATTTCTGTGAGCTGATCAGAAGGAACAACACCAACTCGAACGGCATTCACTTCGAAGACTGTCTATGCTCTCAGAACTTTCAGAAGCTTTTGAAAGGAAATGAAATATGAATAATTTTGATGGAAATATGACTAATGTTTGCGCCATAGACACCACGTGCAGTATATAATTGACAATCCGAGATGGGTTGTTTATAGTCAAGAGTATTACCTAGGACTAGTTTTCACAGGTTATTGTTACTAGTATCGGTTTGTTGTCAAGACGGTATCACCATAACAGCTAGGTAGAGAACAGTAAATTATTTATATAGATGGCTTTCATTTTAAGATTAACTATTCCTGGATCGCAATCTAACATTATTTTTCTCTCTTTCGTTTCAACTTATTTTTTTCACGTGTTAGTTTTTCGGAAAAGAGTTTTAGTTTCGTTTTTGATTTCTTTTTTAAGATTAACGTTCGTGTCATCTTATTTCATTTGTATTGTGTGACCAACACTTCTTGAATATCGACTGCCAAGGAAATCTGGAGTTTTTTCAGCTTATCTCCTCATGTCTTTGCTAAGTATGTATCTTTCAAAGTTTAATGAACTACATTTCTACATCCGATCAGAGGACAACCGACCATCTATGATTGTTGATTGGTCAGATAAATAACGATTGGTCAAGACCATAGGAAAGATTTTTTGTATAAAGTTCTGTGAAAATCAGCCTGATGGAAATTAGGCCTATTAAAACTAGAGAAGTCAATAATGTTTTGCACCTAATGGGTCCCGCCCCTCTTCTCTCAAGCAGAGCCACGCCTTTGATTTATTCACTAATTAATGTTTTTCATCGCAGGTGTGCTTTACACAGAAGCGGAATATATCATTTCGTCCAAAATTTAGGATTAGTCTTTCAAAGATTTCGTCCATGTTCATTACCGATATTGAGACTCATCTATACCAAAGGGGAGGTTAAAATACCTTCACCAACACCATTCAATTTATACTTCACAGTTAAGCACTTTTGGTCCATCCCTTCAGCTCCAATGTGTGACACGGCCGGTCCTTCACTTATAACATTAAATTTTCAGGGAACGGGGATGCTCCATACCAAATTGATCAATAACACTTTTATTGGTACTTTATAAGTAGTCTTTTAAAGGGTTTTTGAAGGGAGTTCGTCTTTTAAAGATTAAAGATTAACTTCTATTCCCTATTTGGTCCCGCTCTACTCCACATTGATCACACTATTCACGTATACAGCATTGAACCCCCTTGGACCAGGAACTAAATTTGGTTAAAATCCCTTCACTTGTGCTCAAGGAGTAGTCTTTTAAAGATTAACACCTAACTAATCATCCTTTAGTCTCCCGCCCCCTCATCCCTTCACCTGTTGGAAGGTCACATCCTTCATTTATATAACTTAACATTCCCTAAGCTCATGCATAACCTATGCTGATCTTAGTCAACATCACTCCAGCTGTTCTTAATGAGTAGTCTTTTACCGGTAAATTTGACTCTGGTTAGAGATAATCACAACAACCGTATATGTGAACACAAAACAAAATAGTCTTTTTATTATCAAATCAAAATAAAAAATCTATCATACTTCAACCTTAAAATCTACAACAGTTGTGTCAATGATTTTATCATGTTTAGTATTGCAAAGGTTGTCAAAATGTTAAACTTTATTAAACAGTTGTATTGGGATATTTGTGTGCGTGTTTTAGGATTGCTTTTGAACATTATGGTAAAACTTGCTTATGTTAAGGAGTAAACAATAATGTATATGACATTTAGTTAAAATGTGTAGGTATTGATTACCTTCTCATGAACTTCAGAGGTCATAGGTCAGCAAATAACATTTGAAAGGTTCAAGATGATTGGTAAAATGTTGTACACATAACTATCACTACATCAAGGTAACAACATCATGTTCCTAACGTGCCATGGGACTTAAAGAACAGATAGTAAACATGCAATAAATTCCAGTTAAATATCTGTATGGTAGATTACATGGTGGTGTTGTGTTATTTCAATCTTTCTATAATAATGTAATATGTATGTTAAATATAAAAATATGTCTGTGATCGTGTATCAATCTGTAATCGAGTGTTAGTGTGTTACAATATAATATTTTACTGAATGTTACTGTGTGATAATATTTCCTGTTATTGAATGATACTGTGTTACAGTATAACCTGTTATGATACTGTGTTACAGTATAACCTGTTAATGAATGATACTGTGTTACAGTATAACGTATTAATGAATGATACTGTGTTTCAGTATAACCTGTTAATGAATGATACTGTGTTACAATAAAACCTGTTAATGAATGATCCTGTGTCACAATATACCCTGTTATGATACTGTGTTACAGTATAACCTGTTAATAAATGATACGGTGTTACAATATAACATATTAATGAATGATACTGTGTAACAGTATAACCTGTTAATGAATGATACTGTGTTACAGTATAACCTATTAATGAATGATAATGTGTTACAGTATAACATATTAATGAATGATACTGTGTTACAGTATAACATATTAATGAATGATCCTGTGTTACAATATAACCTGTTAATGAATGATACTGTGTTACAGCATAACCTATAAATAAATGATACTGTAACACAGTATAACCTGTTAATGAATGATACAGTGTTACAGTATAACCTGTTAATGAATGATACTGTATTACAGTATAACATATTAATGAATGATACTGTGTTACAATATAACCTGTTAATAAATGATACTGTGTTACAGTATAACCTGTTAATGAATGATACTGTGCTACAATATAACCTGTTAATGAATGATACTGTGTTACAGTATAACGTATTAATGAATGATGCTGTGTTTCAGTATAACCTGTTAATGAATGATACTGTGTTACAGTATAACTTATTAATGAATGATACTGTGTTACAATATAACCTGTTATGAATGATACGGTGTTACAATATAACCTGTTAATGAATGATACTGTGTTACAGTATAACCTATTAATGAATGATAATGTGTTACAGTATAACATATTAATGAATGATACTGTGTTACAGTATAACATATTAATGAATGATACTGTGTTACAATATAACCTGTTACGAATGATACTGTGTTACAGTATAACCTATTAATGAATGATACTGTGTTACAGTATAACATATTAATGAATGATCCTGTGTTACAATATAACCTGTTAATGAATGATACTGTGTTACAGTATAACATATTAATGAATGATACTGTGTTACAGTATAACATATTAATGAATGATACTGTGTTACAATATAACCTGTTATGAATGGTACGGTGTTACAATATAACCTGTTAATAAATTATACTGTGTCACAGTATAACATATTAATGAATGATACTGTGTTACAATATAACCTGTTATGGAGTGTTATATATGAGTTGATATTGGGTTGCTGTGTGTTTTGATGTTATTGAGATTCTGTGGCGGTACGTGACACCAGATGAGTCAGCCCCCTGATTGGTATACTTACGGTGGTGTGGAGTGCCTTCAGGTCAGTACTGTGGAACGTTTCGCTGTAACAAACAATGTTACGTGATCAATACTCCAGTTTGGTTACAAAAACCTTTGTCACTAACCAGCATTTTACTCCTAGCACCGCCCTGCGGTTTGTCTCGGTCATCCCCTCCCATCACTCCTTTACACAGCCCTCCCCTTACCGATTTAAATACAAAACTATATATCACCCATACATTTACTTCCAATACAATGCAATAATATCAGTCATTTGGTAATTCTGTTTGCTTATCATTCAATGTGCTACCTAATTTACCTTGCAGTTCCTTATCTTAATTTTTGTCAATTTGATATTCATTGTTGGATAGATTGTTCACCTTAGATAATCAACGAAATACATCATTGAATTTGGTTCCTTTTAGCATACTTTTCATCAATTGTTAGACTAAGCGTTAAACCATTCAATTTATGATATACTCTATTTTACTCATATATTGTTCATATTTATCAAACTTTTTATTGTTCATATACTGCACAATTTTCAATAATCCTTTCCAGTTATTAATAAAAAAAAGAATATTTTGCCTTAAAATTTAGATCTAAATAATCTTTTTTTTTCTTTCTCACAATGCATGTATTTCAAGCCAGTGAAACTCTCTAATCAACTGAATGAACTGTTATACAGAAGAAGGGAGGGGCGGGGTTAACACTGTCAAGTTTCCTATTCCTAACAGTTTTCATGCATGTTTCATTATATCATTCCCATAAACCCAATTTTGATGATTGCTTAATTCAATTATCCACTGTAAACTTATCAATCAATAAATGAATTAATGTTCATAAACTGAATTATAATATTCCATTAATGAATCAACATTTATAAACTGAATTATAATGATCTTTTAATGAATTATCACCATAAACTGAATCATAATGATCTTTTAATGAATTATCACCCTAAACTGAATTATAATGATCTTTTAATGAAATATCACCATAAACTGAGTTTCAATGACCAATAAATCACTGACCTCTCATCAAATGAATTCTATTGATCAGTAACTTAATGACATTCCAATTTGAAAAGATCTTAATGTTTAACCAAAAAATTGATTACCTCTTATTATTGACCAACTGATTATCCCTCATATACAGAAGTGATTTTTTTTTTTAATAATCTGATTTAATGTTATGAGAACTTACTTCCATTATAGTATCTTTAAATTTGTTTAATAAATTAATCACAAGACATAAGTGATTTTGGAAATTCCTAAATAAGCCCCCTCCCTCCTTCCTCAAGAGAATAAAATAAATAAGTCAATAAATAAACCGAAGAAATTTAGTGCTGTTTTATCAATGCAATTTTGTAAATCTAATTCTTATAATTTTTGATGAATTAATTTTCATTAACAGCCTTTTTACTGTATTAACTATTGTAATTAACTGACATAAACTAAAACAATTATGGATGGTAGCTTATTCATATCCCATTAAAAAAAATCACAATTATTGGTTACCAAATTAAATATCTACTTTGCCAGATGCAGCGCAAGTTTTTTTTTTATTTTCGTGAAACTTTTCCACTTCAAGTTCATCATTTAAGAAAATATCCACAAAATGAATTCAAAACTTTATTTTGAATATTCAGATCAAAAATTTGTGATTGGATGGTAAGAGAAACAATATATTCTCTTGAGATTTAGATTAATTACCATAGGTAAAAACCTTACTTTTTTTTTAATGAATTGAAAAAAATGTTTCTACCCTAAGTTATCAGTTCAAGCAAGTGTTTTTACCTTTCTTTGTATTTTGTCTGTAGCCTTGAGGCTTCAATGGACAGTTCTTGTCGGTCTCCAGCAGCCTGACAAACAATAGGATACATGTCAAACATACAACATTACCAGGTATAAAGGTCAAGCATACAACATTACCAGGTACAAAGGTCAAACATACAACATTACCAGCTATAAAGGTCAAACAAACAACATTACCAGGTATAAAGGTCAAACCTACAACGTTACCAGGTATAAAGGTCAAACATACAATATTACCAGGTATAAAGGTCAAACATACAACATTACAAGGTATAAAGGTCAAACCTACAACGTTACCAGGTACAAAGGTCAAACCTACAACATTACCAGGTATAAAGGTCAAACATCCAACATTACCAGGTATAAAGGTCAAACATACAACATTACCAGGTACAAAGGTCAAACCTACAACATTACCAGGTATTAAGGTCAAACATACAAAGTTACCAGATACAAAGGTCAAACATACAACATTACCAGGTATAAAGGTCAAACATACAACATTACCAGGTACAAAGGTCAAACCTACAACATGATCAGGTATTAAGGTCAAACATACAACGTTACCAGATACAAAGGTCAAACATACAACATTACCAGGTATTAAGGTCAAACCTACAACATTACCAGGTATAAATTAAGTTCAAACATACAATGTTACCAGGTACAAAGGTCAAGCATACAATGTTACCAGGTACAAAGGTCAAACATGTAATATAAGTCACACATAAGCTATACAGTGATGTTCAATGGTGTAAAGCTGTTCTAAAAAAATCCTTAAAACCTAACTGGAACAACCCTGGTTATAACAATTGTCAGAGAAATTCAATTGTGAATGTATGTTTGTCATCAGATGCTTGTTAAATGAAATTATTGTCCTAACTAAATTTAATATATAATGGATGAAGAGCTGGTACTTTTACAGCGAGTACAGTAGTTAATATACCATCAATCAATACATTACATTTTTTGACCAGAGACAGTTTAACACTCTCGCAAAACAGAAAGTCTGTATTCTAACGTCAAAAGCTCCATCAGAGCAGCCCATGGCTCCCTTGAGAGGCAGTGGTAAGTATGTAGCCAGCGATCTGTTGACTTTGAGGATGCGATTAGGTTACCATAACAGGACTTTAATTCAAATTACATCTCATTTTTTGTTCTTAATTTCAACTTCCCTGTCGGGTAAGAATAGATTCTTCCATGTATTTTTCTGGTGTGTACCATTGGGATTTATGTGGGTAGAAGGTGCGTATAGGAGATCTGGCCCATTTAGATGTTTGCCATGAGTCACAAGTACTAGAGTGTACGGGAAAGCGCTAGACAGTAACTTGCAATACATTTACTCACATTAAGTCAATTTTACAAAATTCTCATCCAAAATGGAAGATATTCATGTAACTTTCCAGATTCATGAAAAATGATATCATAAATACCAAGGAAGGTGTTATCCAAACCGACACAGGAAACACTGGTACATAAAAAAACACTTCACAAGCTTATAATCAATACAACACACGTTTTTATAATATAATTTCTTTAAAAAAAATGATATATTCATTTTGCATAGCAAAATCCATTACATTTTTATATAAAGATATGAAATATCTGCAGATGAAAGTAGATACATTTAGCTGTCAGAAGTAGTCAGGACTAACCTAGAAAAAACGGTGGTGATGAATTAGGAGTTGATACCATCTATCTCACCCAAGGATAAGAATGTACATTTCTAGATTTTCAGCAGGCACTGACTTTGTTATAAATTGTATGAAAATGTATGTCAATCTTGGACAATAACCTTGACTTATCATAGGACCTTGCCTTGTAACACAGAGACAGTGTTATATTTTCACTTTGGCAGAAAAATGAGAATTATGTAAGACCTGTTGATGTTTCTTTTTTAAAGATAAATTGAGCATTTGTTTAACCTTGACCTCAGGATACTGACCTTCAAGAGAGCGAAGTTAGATGTTCTGGCGACGAAGTCTGTGAAATCATTCATGGCCTTTTCTTTCTGTCTGTGGTTCTCTCGGATCTGTTAGATTCAATGGAAATACTTAGTAAGTAACATAATTTTGGGGATTTCATTTGTTTAGCGATATTCTAGAATTCCTTACTGACACCAGTTCACAGGTAGGTCATTTATCAGTAGAGCTAAAATGTCATTTTCATTTCAACTGTGTGTCACTTTTATTTAGTGTAATAATGATACCCTCATTCATGATATTTTGACACCTTTATTTATGACATCAGCAAAAATTAAGGAACATCATTCAAAGAAAATTGTCAAAATAGAAAATGTTTTGCAAACAATTACCTCATGAACACCTTATTTCTGTTTTGAAGGTAAAAAGCAGTGCAGTTGACAAACATCTGTCTGCAGTATATATGTAGTTAGGATGGACAGACAGACACCCTAATATACGTAGTTAGGATGGACAGACAGACACCCTAATATACATAGTTAGGATGGACAAATAGACACCCTAATATACGTAGTTAGGATGGACAGACAGACACCCTAATATATGTAGTTAGGATGGACAGACAGACACCCTAATATACATAGTTAGGATGGACAGACAGACACCCTAATATGCGTAGTTAGGATGGACAGACATACACCCTAATATACGTAGTTAGGAAGTACAGACAGACACCCTACTTGCAGTTAACCACCCAAACTTCATTGCAGGGAGTATTATAATAATTTGTATACCCTAGCTTACTCATGATAATTTCCATGATAAGTTCCTTACCCTTATTCATGAATATTTTGAAACTTTATTTATGATAATTTTGATACCTCTTAATTTGTAGCAGAGGAGGCCTAAAACATTGTGTGTTTAGTTCACAAATTTCCTATCAAAATTAACACAAATATAGTTGTGAAGTATTACTTTAAGTAATCAAATATTGCTTGGTATGAGAAAGATAGAAATGCAAGTTTCATAGAAAAAAAATATTTCAATTTAAACGATAACCTTTAACAGAAATGACTAGGTTGACATCTGCCAGAAATTTTACTGACTAATTATAAAATTGGAAAAACAAGGAAATGAAAAGATAAGAATCAACATGTTGAATTTGCACTTGGATCCTTGTACCCACCTCAGCATAGAACTCCTGTTCATCGAGGACATCCTGGTTCTGCTGGGCCTCCAACAGTTCCTGCTGTGTGCCCGACACAATGTGTACACGCTCCTCAATCGCCCTGGAGATGGCCTCTATAGCTTCAAGGTCAGGGGTGACAGGTCGAACCTGTTCCTCACTTAGCTCAGCAATTACTTCATTCCACACCTCTCCCATCTGTTGGTATATATGTAACATGTCAAACTAACATGGAACTGTAAATTTTATTCTCATAAGTATGAACTGATTGCATGTTTTATTGCTCCTTGTCACAATATGAATAGGTTGTCTTATCATGAATATACTGTCATATTGTTGATTAGTTGTTAAATTATAAAGTTTTGTCTCATCATGAATAGGTTGAAGATGTTGTCATATTTTGAACTAATTCTCTTTTGTTAATTGGTTGTCATCATTTTGATTGGTTGTCAAGATGGGAATTGGTTGTCATCATGTTAACTGGTTGTCATCATGTTAGCTGGTTGTCATCATGTTAACTGGTTGTCATCATTTTGATTGGTTGTTATCATGTTAACTGGTTGTCATCATGTTAACTGGTTGTAATAGGTTGATTAGTTAAGGGTATAAGCTGTCAAATTATGAAATGTTAAATTATCAATTACTTGTATTGGTGATGAGTTGTTATAGTATTGATAGTTGTCATATTATAAATCAGTTTCTCATGAAAATGTAATGACATTATGAAAATGTAATTATATTATGAAGTGTAATAATATAATGAAGTGTAATAATATTATGAAAATGTAATTATATTATGAAGTGTGATTATATTATGAAGTGTAATAATATTATGAAAATGTAATTATTTTATGAAAATGCAATAATATTATGAAAGTGTAATAATATTATGAAAATGTAATTATATCATGAAAATGTAATTATATTATGAATTGGTTGTCAAATTGTTGGTGGCTGCAATACTGCCAATGGTAGTCGTACTGACAGTTGTCATAGTATTGATAATTGTTTTAATATTTATTGTCATATTGTACATGAGTTGTCGTATGGTTGTAACTAGAATCGTTGGCTTTCCTCTAGTTGGTATATACTAAATGACTGCCAAAGTATAGCTGTATTAATGCTGTTTCAACTGTGATGATGTTGGTTTAATTTGTTTTACTGGTCACTTTATTTTGCCTTAATTTTTCACACAAAAAAATCAGTTCAGAATGGACTTATAGGTCTACACAGCAAGACCTTGGTGTAATGTCCCTCCCTTCATATTTCATGGTCCTTTTCTGTAGAATTTGTTAATATGTTTCCTTCAATTTATCATCAAACCCCTTTATAATGCCAAACTTCCTCTGCACATATAACAGGGGTTTATTGTATACTGTTTATTGCTCCTACACATGATCTTGTTATAAACATACTATTCTTTGTATACACATTATACAGAATAACCATTCTTTTGTAACAGATACAAACTTTCCTTAAGAACTCTTACATAACTGTACACATGTACTTATCACAAAAGAGCAAATGGCACATCCTTGACCTTTGATTATTAATCTAAAGTTGTTTCCAGTCAGGTCTGTTAGCTACCAGTTTGAGCTGAGTGAGTCATTCTGTTATATGAATCATTGGAACCAGTGGAGAAGAAACAGCTTCAAAAACATCCAAATAAAATTCCAAATACTTTAAATCGGATAATGATATTCAGAAAATTATTAAAAGCAGAAGTTCTAGCATCAATGAAGTTTAGTTTTATTTTGAACCCAATCATGATATTGTTTTGCTTCAAAGACAGATAGTTCAATCATCCTTGTTATATTTCCATTCTTTGTATGGTGAACTTTTGGTAAATTGTACAATCAGTATTTGTAGGAAGTTTCATGAAAATAAATGCATTCCTTTCTTAAGGTTATGCACAGAAACCCTGTTTGGTGCTTAAATCCAAGATGGCCATTGGCAGCCATATTGAATTTGATATCCATGTAAAAATACAATTTGAGTAGGTAAATGGTAAGTACTATAAGTATCCACAGGAAGTTTCTGACATTCAAAGCATTCCTACAAGAGTTAAAGCTCTGACACCTTTGTCAAAAGTTTGACATCAATGCCACTGCTGACAGCGTTAACCATGATGCCAGAAAACACAAAAAAAGGAAACCGGGACCTGAAATGTTTTGCAGTAAACAAAGAGGCCAATGAAACAAGGAGCAATACTGAATATAAACGAAGGTGTCACATTGAGGTTTGTTATAAATAAAAGATGGACTTTTCACGGAAGTTTTACTGTATAACAAATGATGGGCATTACTCCCTGTATATAGGTTAAAATAGGGTTTTGCCATATATATATAAGCTATGGTATTATATGAAGGTTTTACTTTAAACCAGAAAATGTCTGTAAGACATAAATGCCCCCGCTCATGGATGGGATGGGACGAGTTGGGAAGGGAGGGACAGGACGGGATGGACATGGGCAACACTATATGCCCCGCCATTTTATGGCGGGGGAAACAAATTGAGGGGCATTTTATTGAGATTTTACTGGATACATATTTAAGTCATCAGAGACATACCTGTTTTCTTTATATATATAAGCATGCTTGTTAAATAACAATAAGTAATATGTAATTAATGTGTTACCTTGAAGTCGAGGTATTTCTCCACAACAGTCAGTGTCACATGGTCATCTACAGTCAGACCGGGCAGATCAGTGAATCCTGAAAGATAAAGTGAGACCAGTGGTCAGCAATGATGTGTCCTAACACAATGTGAGACCACTGGTCAACAATGATGTGTCTAAACACAATGTGAGACCACTGGTCAGCAATGATGTGTCTAAACACAATGTGAGACCAGTGGTCAACAATGATGTGTCTAAACACAATGTGAGACCAGTGGTCAGCAATGATGTGTCTAAACACAATGTGAGACCAGTGGTCAGCAATGATGTGTCTAAACACAATGTGAGACCAGTGGTCAGCAATGATGTGTCTAAACACAATGTGAGACCAGTGGTCAGCAATGATGTGTCTAAACACAATGTGAGACCAGTGGTCAGCAATGATGTGTCTAAACACAATGTGAGACCAGTGGTCAGCAATGATGTGTCTAAACACAATGTGAGACCAGTGGTCAGCAATGATGTGTCTAAACACAATGTGAGACCAGTGGTCAGCAATGATGTGTCTAAACACAATGTGAGACCAGTGGTCAGCAATGATGTGTCTAAACACAATGTGAGACCAGTGGTCAGCAATGATGTGTCTAAACACAATGTGAGACCAGTGGTCAGCAATGATGTGTCTAAACACAATGTGAGACCAGTGGTCAGCAATGATGTGTCTAAACACAATGTGAGACCAGTGGTCAGCAATGATGTGTCTAAACACAATGTGAGACCAGTGGTCAACAATGATGTGTCTAAACACAATGTGAGACCAGTGGTCAGCAATGATGTGTCTAAACACAATGTGAGACCAGTGGTCAGCAATGATAAGTCTTAACACAATGTGAGACCAGTGGTCAGCAATGATGTGTCTTAAAACAATGTGAGACCAGTGGTCAGCAATGATGTGTCTAAACACAATGTGAGACCAGTGGTCAACAATGATGTGTCCTGATAAAACGTGAGACCAGTGGTCAGCAATAACTTCCCCTTAAACTTAAGAATAAAGCACATTATGTTCATGAACATTCTTACCTATCTTACAGAAGATAGAGTATATTTTGGCTCTCATGTTCTCAGAAACATCCACTATGGCCTGGCTAGGGTTGGCTGCAGGCTGGGGAATGACACCTTGATTCTCTTGGAGGACACCCATCAGGGGCCTTGTGTGGTCTAAAATAGCCCCATCCTTAGTGCGTCTCACTCCGAGCTCACGCTCCTCGTTACGGAAGATGTCACAGAAGAGATGAGGAGCTGAGGCGTTGTCAGCTCCACGCCAGGTGAGGACATGATGAATTGTCTTGGGGTTCTCACACAGGTCAAGTAGGCAGCCAAGGATCAGGTTATGCATGTTCTTAGGACACACCTACAGCAGAGGGTAAACAATGTGAGTGGGTTAGCAGCTATAGGTGACAGGGATGTATCATATCAAAGTGGTAATGTATACAGGTAAACTTTCATCCAGTCAAATATTTGCCCTTGACTTGTAAAATCTATATTCACCCAGAGTATATTTCGCCCTTAACATGTAATTACTATATAGGGTAAATTGTGTTTGCTGCGATGATAAATTTGCCCTTATTGCGGAGTGCGAAAAAGGCGAAAAATTAAACTGCAGCAAACAGTTCCTGCTATACAGTAATGAGCAAACTTGACCTCTGACCTTCGTAAGCATAGGTATCTACTCAATAAATCTGTTAGAAATTTGGTGATTCCGTTCATTAGAGATGTTTCAAACAAAACTTCCACCAAATTAACTTGACCAGTAGTTTCTGTAATTGTCATATTTCTAATACATGTCTTATTGAAAAGGTTTAGAAAGTTGTGTGACATCCAATTCATTAACTTGAGAGAATATCATGTAAAAAAGTGACACATTGATAGGTGACCGTCAACCTGTCCAGACTTAATACTTTTCCCTTATACTTTGTTAAGTTTGGAAATAATGCATTGATTCCTTTATCAGAAGTATGTTTTCTAAATTATAAACATCATTAAAGTAATCTTTTGACCTTGACCTTTAGCCTTTGAGCATTCACATTTAATATCCCACCTATAGAACAGACACTCGTAATCAGACTCCGCTAATCAACAACACAGCAATGTCCCACAATAATCAAATGAAGCTTAGAAGATTGATAAAAGTTGAATTCTGTTAACTGTCAAATCAATCAATATTCATTTGAAATCTTGAGAAGCCTTAAGTCATTAGCTGGCAGGCAAGAGTTACAAAACTGGTTAAAATTTCATAGACATTTTTGTTTAATGTGAATGAACATTCATGTACTGAACAACTATGTAATAATGTATAATGTCATATATGGTTTGTGTTGTCTTGTAAAAAAAATGAAAATAAAATATAAAAGAAAAAGTATTCATTTAAAATCTTGAGAAGCATTAAGTCATTCCCTGGCAGGCAAGAGTTTGATGGACCTTCGATAAAACTGAAGTCTCAAGTTCTGCCATTCTCTTAATTTTCTATAGCTTTCATTAAAAAAAAACAGCCTAACATTCATAATTAGTATAATTTGCCATTTATTCAGTAATGTTTGTGGTTCATAGTACAAATTGCTTCAATGTACAAATTTACCTTATAAAAAAATAATGCTAACACAGCTTATGGATTTAAAACCTTACGGCCTCTAATGGTTTAATCAACACTTTAATTGACAGTGTTATTCCTAGTTTGAATTGATTAGATGATAAAAAGTCCTCCTGATAAAAGACAGATGCACAATGAAATTGGAGAAGCATCATATTTATACCGTTACAAATACACATTGATTTAGCTAACCAAACTATTTAACAGAGAATTGCTGATGAGGGAACTCATCTGTTGGGCCAAATCATTTTGGATTTGTTAGCTTCCTTTTTTTTTTTTTTTTTTTTTTTCAACATTGTAAAGACTTACTGCAAATGTTCTCATTTTAGTGGTATTCCTATTTTAGCACTTTCACAAATGTGCTAATTTAGATAAAATACTAACTATAGAAGTACATTTCCTGGAGAGTCAGTATGCTAATATTTAATAGCCAGTGTGTTTTTTACCTAAATTTTACAGCAACCCATTCCTACATGAATTGAGAAAACATAGCATTATTTTAAATTGCCTCACTTTTTCTTGATTTTGGCAAAATCAAACCTTTTTTTTCTAGGTAAAACAGCCTGTAAATTACTGTAAAACAAGGCAAACAAAATACCACAGATAGCACTAATAGATAGCATGTATCCTTGATCGCTAAAATAGGAGTGTCCCCATGGTGTTTACCGTATGGCATACCATAAGACACATGTCTTTTGGTGTTAATTTGTAAAGTGCGTAGGTACCAAGTGGCTTATCAAACATAACTATACAAAGGACCTACAGTTGGTAATCTTACACAAATTATTCTTTTGAGAAATATCACGAAATTGTATTCAAAATTAACTTTACACCAAAACCATAACCTTATTTATTCATTGTAAGGGATTATGTATCTAGTAACATGTCTAGGAACATGTCTCAATGCTGAATATTTCTGTAAGGAAGATGTGATGAAGTATGTCAGACTTTCAGCTTTAATAAATAGCTAATCAGAGAATTAAGTAAGGGTGTGCGGCTTACCTCAAGTAAATCAATCAACAGGAACACACCCTCCTTCTCCAGGAAGTAATCCTCGGTGCCGTAGCAGTTTACGATGGAGCACCTGTACCAGAGTTAGATAAACAAATTATACATACTGGTCCTCTGGTGTAAACAGCTTTCTCAGGGCAGTTTTAACATTATCACCTGTTGCTATAGTTACTAATGAAAGTATTAATCTCATGTATTCAGGTTATACACTATACACTTTTTGCAGTACAAATAATCTCATTTGGAAAACTGAATAGGCAGACTTTTTAATCTTGTACTATTTTCAGTTTAGGTTTGCGAGTATATCACCAAAGCAAATGAAATCCATATTAATTGTTATTTATCATTACATTTTATATTCACAAATATGTATTATACATGTACATGACACGCACAAAAATTATTCGCAGATAAAAAAACAAGTGTTCATCATTTCCTATTCATCAATGAGAGTGATTACTGAGGTCAAGGTCATTCAGTGACATTTGACCTCTGACTCAAATCAAATATTAACAGAGCTACAGGATATTGCAATGAAATATAGTAAAATAAGGGAAGCAAATTTACAACAAAAGAAACAAACATTTCCAATCATGAGACGGGGAAGTAGAATCTGTGCCCACTGAGTTGTCTGTACATCCCTAACTTATCCCCGTGTAATGTTATATTCACACCGTTACCTCAAGCAATATCATATACATTCTTCACACTCAAATATTCTCACAGCTTCCAAAAACGTGCCGCTACCATCTGGACTCAATAAATGTTCACTTTGTGGAGAATGGGGTGTTTTGCTAACTGTTCTGGGTCACCTTTGTTCTAACAGAACTGGAGTCTATAACTTTCACAGCACAATGGATTCCCTGACAACTTCTCTGGCAAACAAACACTCAGCCGACAGCATCATACCTCTGGATCAATCTAATACATGGATTAACATGCCTGCTAGATTTCTTTTGGCAAAAGAATAATGCAAAAATATCTTTTTAACACATTTATTGCACAGAATATATACCCTCAGATAATTTGCTGCACATAAAAATCCACAATGTTGGCTTAGAATACATTGATTCAATAAAAATCTATAAAAAGCCCAATAAATAAAACAAAGGACACTTATAAGGTAATGCATCTATTGCTTCGTCAGTTATTTAGAAAATAATTCTAAATCAGGGTGATTTACCAACAGTACAGAACATAAGCTTCACACAGATTTGAACTAGACAAGTGTCAACCTACACAAGATTTGATGTAGACAGGTGTCACCTTATACAAGGTTTGGTGTAGACAGGTGTCACCTTATACAAGGTTTGGTGTAGACAGGTGTCACCTTACATAAGGTTTGATGTAGACAGGTTTCACCTTATACAAGATTTGGTGTAGACATGTGTCAGCTTATACAATGTTTTGGTGTAGGAAGGTGTCATCTTACATAAAGCTTGATGTAGACAGGTGTCACCTTACATAAATTTTGATGTAGACAGGTGTCATCTTACATAAAGTTTGATGTAGACAGGTGTCATCCTACATAAAGTTTGATGTAGACAGGTGTCACCTTACATAAAGTTTGATGTAGACAGGTGTCTGTCACCTTAAAGAAAATTTGATGTAAACAAATACGGTTTGGTGAATACAGGTGTCACCTTACCAAAGGTTTGATGAAGACAGATGGTACTAGTTAACAGTGCGACGGTACCTACCAGACACAGTCCACTGCGGCCAGGAGAAGGCGATGGTGCCCCAATCCACTACTCAGAAGCTTCGAGTCTGTGTTCAGATAATGTATTGTGACATCCACACCAGTAGTACCAAAAAGCTCCTGTAAACATGGCATACATTCATTATTGTTTTTAAAAAACAATTATCGTGGCAAAAATGTGAAAAAAAAAGTGATTTGAGTATGGTCATGTTCACCTGGTTTAATGAAAATTGCAAGCTGAATGTATCTTTTTGGAAGCCAAAGTAAAAGCCAATGATATTAAAACAAAAGAGAAAAGTATCTAAATACAAATTATACATTTCTAGTCAAGAGAGAAATGATATCATCTGATTGATTTAATACTCGTTTCTGGTACATACAGCTTTCACTCTGAAGTAAAAAGAAGTTACTGACACTTCAAGGATAATAACTACCATGTTGATGTGTCTGTGTGCAGACTATCCTCGGACTTCTATCACCAGCATGGATCAGTAATGAGGACTATATAACTGACAACTTTCATATTCAGGTTTAATATTTTACTAGCAATAATTTCCAGTTTGTATCAGAAACATAAAAGAATACATTGTAAAAGCGACAGCTTTCAGCAGATCCTTGACAGTATGTATTTGACTCCAGAAAATGAGCTTTGACTCTTGATCTGAAAATAAAATGTCTCGTTGACATATATGTTCTGACCCTTTAAATATCAGGAAAGGGGTGATTTAACTGTTGAAATTGCTAAATGTCAAGGGTCAACAGAAAGCCCAGATCAATATGAATCTGTCCTGTATACATAGGTTGTACTTTCAGCAGGTAATCCATTAAGACAGATTTAACTGTACAGGTATTGATTTGACCTACTTTTCTGTGCATATCTCCATCACATAGACATGAAAGGATGAGCAGCATGTCCGACTGCATCTCCACATCCACGGCATCATCACCCCTTTGGCTGTGGATGGCATTCAACAAAATGGCTGAAGGTAGATTAAATTAGTTGTGTTAGATTACTGAACTGAAATGAATATTTATTTTGTTATTGTATCAAATTCTAATGGTAAGCCATGGAATGTTGACTTCATGATGATGACAAAACTTGGTGATCAAATACATCGTTACACCACAGACTATCAGATGGGAGACAACTTGGTGATCAAATGCATTGTAGCACCACAGACTATCAGAGGGGAGACAACTTTGTGATAAAATGCATTGTAGCACCACAGACTATCAGAGGGGAGACAACTTGGTGATCAAATGCATTGTAGCACTAGAGACTATCAGAGGGGAGACAACTTCCTACAATATTCGGTGCTTTTGGTTAGTCACCATTGTTGAAAGGAACTTGCTTTGGATACTCATTGTCTCAATTCCAAGTTTAATTTGTATGATTTGTCGGATGGTTTCCCATAAATAAATGAATAAACTTGTGGATTATGATGTTAAACAGCTAGTGTTGTCAATAACATTTGGAGTAAGACGGCATTTCAGAGGTATACACGGTGAGTCAAGTGGTAGATCGAAGCCGTCCAGTATACAGTTTTAGTGAAGTTTCTATTAATAGTAACAGTGACCTTGACCTTTGACCTTCCGACCTGAAAAGCAATCCCAAGCAAGCACTTTTGTAAGGAAGCACTGCATGAAGTTTGAGTTTGATCGGCCCAAGGAAACTCAAGTTATCGCACGAAAACAGATTTTCTATTTATAGTAACAGTGACCTTGACCTTTGACCTTCGGACCTGAAAAGCAATCCCAAGCAAACACTTTTGGTAAGAAAGCACTGCATGAAGTTTGAGTTTGATCGGCCCAAGGAAACTTAAGTTTTCGCACGAAAACCTCTGTTCTGACGACGACGCCTACACCGCCGACGCCGACATAGCAATACCTATGTTTCACCAGCTTTTCGCAGGCGACGCAAAAAAATGGAAAATTCTCATAAGTTAATGTGAGCTAATCTAAATTGAAAATTACATAAACAACCACCAATAAATTATCTTTATCCGGAATTCCTGTGTGTAGTAGTGAGTTATATCTTTACTTACATTACATGGAAAAGAAATAACTCATCTCTTTGGTTATACGTACAGTGTTAATTTTTAGGGGATCATAGGTCTTTTATCTAGCCGATTCTTCTTCTTTTATATTTAAAGTGCCAGGAAACTTTTGTCTTCCTGATCCTTAATTCTATGGGATGAAAAACTTCAGGCAACTGATCTTGATTATACGTAGATTTATAAGAAGAGGGACACTTTTGACTAGGCGATACATTCCCCTCACACTTCACATTTCTTAAACTTACTAATGATCTGGTTGATGGCACCCTGGTCAGCAAGATCCTGAACGACAACCTCGTCACCCGTGGATACCACACTCCGTAGCAAGCGAAGACAATGACGCATCTGGGCACGCTTGCTACCCCTGCCACCAGTTCCGTGGATACTGTTACCATGACCACCAAAGTCCTCTGTTAGATAAAGGTGTAGAGCATGTTACAGCCTTCATTTACAAATGATTTAGAAGGAATTGTTGAGTTTATTGCTGCTGTATAGAAGTCTTTATGAATATTTATTCTCACAATCACTAAACATATTTATATGAACATGTTAACCCATTCACCCCTGAAGACACATTTGAACCTTACCAATTCAAAAGACTGGGCAAGTCCAGTTTAGATATGTAGGGGTGAATGAGTAAAAGGAATGGCATCCTAGGCTGGTTTAGTATAACGACCAGATAAAGTCAGCCCAACCATTTGTGTAATTTTGAACTCCCACCACTATGGATGCTTCCATTTAAACTTGATAAAATTCAGTTCAGAAGAAGTTGTTTGCAGAAATTGTTGACAGACAGACACGAACACCATGGTATGGCATAAGCCAAATTCAGTCCTTCAGATCAGGTGAGTTAAACTTTAACTTTCAATGAAAAGAAATAACGCCCCAGAAATAACAACGTATCAGCAGAATTTAAAAAATAAAAGACTGCAATTGTCTACATTATCACATATGGTGTTTTTTTTCTCTCAAAGTATGCTTCACGGAAATAATGTTCTTCATTTCCCAATATATATCACACTGTTCAGATTAATTTTGAGAGATTTACCTTTGCCGACACACCATTCAAGGAGAAGCAGTATCCTGGTGCTGCCCTGACATGTCATGTAATCCTCAATCATCAGTGGACAGAGTGCACACAGACATGACATCGCATGCAGCTGAACTTCCTCAAACTGAGCTGATGTCCAGTCTCGTGGCCCCATTGTGTTCTCATTTGCCCGCACAAAACTGAATAGTGACAACATCAAGTGGCCCTCAGATAAAACCTGTGGGAGATAAAGAATAGTTTAATAGTTGTGTGCCTTCAAAACATGGGAACCGAACATGTCAACACCAGTCTGTGTGAACAAGTGGAGATAACAAGTCATCACCAGTCTGTGTCAACAACAAGTGGAGAACACATGTCAACACCAGTCTGGGTGAACAAGTGGAGATAACAAGTCATCACCAGTCTGTGTCAACAACAAGTGGAGAACACATGTCAACACCAGTCTGGGTGAACAAGTGGAGATAACAAGTCATCATCAGTCTGTGTCAACAACAAGTGGAGAACACATGTCAACACCAGACTGTGTCAACAACAAAGGGAGATGACGAGTCAACATCAGTCTGTGTCAATAACGATGGGAGATAACAAATAAGTCAACATCAATCTGTCTCAAAAACAAGGGGAGATAACATATAAATGAATAGAACTCTATCATAACGACAAGGGGAGATAACATATAAATGAACAGAGCTCTATCATAACGACAAGGAGAGATAACACATCAATGAACAGAACTCTATCTTAACTACATGGGAAGATAACATATAAATCAAAAGAATTCTATCTTAATGACAATGGGGAGATAACGGAATTATATATTATTAATTAATGACAAGGGGAGATAACATACAAGTCAACAGAATTCTATCTTAACAAAAAGGGGGAAAAAACAAATAAGTCATCATCACAACATCAGAAACAGACTGTATATTTATCAAAATATTGCATTCAAATTCCAGACATGTTTACAACCTACCGGAACTGCTGTGGAATCTTTACTGAGGGTGACCAAGATATTAAACAGTAGTTTCTTCAGTTCAAAATCTTCATGGTTCTTCATCAGCTTCAGGTGTTTAACTAAGACGTTGTGACTCTTCACTGTAACCAAAACAGAGGTCATAAGTGAGTTTATTAGATAGCATATATAACTTGATTTAACAAGACTTAACTTTCTTCTCCTTAGGAAAGCAATTGTTCTGAAATAAAGAGCAATGGACATAGAATTTTTAGTATAATCCATGTTAAATTTTGATTGTTATGAATTTTCACTGGAATTGTAAAAAACATAGTAAAATGTATATGAAATAGAAACTTTATTAAGCTCTTATATTTAGTTGTTTCATTTACAAAATTAATATCTACAAATCAATTAAACATCAACATTACAAAAACATTGGTTGTCTTTATATTTGTTTTATCAATCAATGGTGCTACATGTGCTGAGGTGAACTGTAGTTTACCTTCCTGGAATGTGGCAAAGAGAGTGAGCTGTTTCGCAAATCCAGTCTCCACAAATGGTGCATTGGGACACTTGGAAGCTACCAGTGTCGCTATAACAAGAAGATCGTTTCTCAACTGTCGGTCATAGTGGCTGTAACCCTGGGTAAGCTGGAACACGAAGGCGTCTCGCAATTGGCTGAAAAGTAAGGCACAATATTGAGAAACAGAGATTCTAGTGAAATTACATCACAACAACAAATTTTAAATTGATTCTACGAATGATTCTATGTTCATTGCACTTTATTTCAGAACAATAAATGGTCACTGATTCCATACATATAGATTTTTAAAGACATTTGATTAAGACCTTTCAATATCTCACAAACATTGATTTTTTTTGTATTAATGCATACTTAATGGTTCCTAAAAAAACAATCAGAGTGTTTAACCAAACCTGTAACAACTCACTTGATGCAGCTGAGATTATCCAGCTGAGTTGCCAGTTCTCCCCCATCGCCAAACTCCAGGAGGTTCCACAAGATATCCACTGACCGGAACAGCAGCTGACCACTGGGGTCAGCATCGGTCATCCGTGAGCAGATGCGATTACCAGCCCCTACACGCAGCATCTGGTCACAGTTTTTAGCTATAAATGAAAAAAAATAAAAAAATATCCAGACACTTTCACTTTTGCAGAAGAATCAAGTTGTAATCAGGAATATTCCACTTAAAGGATCAAAGCCTCCTTTACAGAGTACTGTATGCATGTGATAATTGTAAAAATCTAAATATATGTTACTGACATCTTGTTTAGACCAATATAGTACTGACTATCATTAACTACTTGTCGAGGGTTTACAAGCAGGAGCACTGAGTGACCTCTATTCCCTAGTACTCACCTGAGTTTTTAGAGAAGTGCTGAAGGACGTCTAGGACAGCCAGTTTGATTGCTATGTCATTCTCCAACAGGGCCAAAGACTGAAATAAAGATTCATGTCTTGGTAAAATCTGTTTTTTTTTAATAATTTGTTATTCCTTAGCATGAAATTAATTTTACATATCCCTCATACAAATAATAATGACATAAATATGTTCCAAGCCAATGTAATGAAAAAAATACAACCAATTCACTAATATAATTGAGCACATTGAAGAAAGATGTAGATTAGTTTCATCAAGATTGTATAATTTATTTCCAAAAATTAAGAAAAAAAAACCCAGAACTTTCATTATTGGTATAATATTTATAAGTAATCTTCACATGAAAATTCAAAATAATTTCATCTATTTAAGTATTAAGAGTTTATAGTGTGATTTGGTTGCTCACCTTAACAAGTGTCTCGGAGACGTCACTGTTCTCGATGATGTTTTGGTTATAGGATACAGATGTTGGTTTGTGCTCTAAAAAAATGAAATATTTTAAGGTACAATTTAACATGTGTATTGTCAAGTAATAATCATTGATATCAAAGTGTTATATTTTTGTCTTCTGTTAAGGAAATCCCATCAGCAGCGAAATCTAAAGAAATTTTGTCCATAGTCAGTGAACTCATTTTTTTGTGTACGATTTTGTTTAATTTGCTACAAACATGATTTACCAAATACTTTTACATGTACTTGATTTAAATATCTTATTTTCAGAGATGAACAATTCAACAAGCTCAACGCCCAGGGCTAGTAGGTAGGGCTGTAAATCTCATATTACACAGAAAATATATTTTCAGTATCAGAATCCATTGTTACTATATAAACAGAGATGAATCTTATTTCCATTCTTAACAGAAAAGATGCAAGAAGAAAAAGAAGAAGAAGAAACAACGTGTTTTTTTTTACAATGGCCTCTTTTATGATACACTTTTTATTGGAATTGGTTAGTATTTGTAGTCTATTCATTGTAACACAATTTACCAAAGGAAGTAATTCATTGTGTATTCTAAAAACAGTTCATTTAAAACAAGAAGGAAAAGTTTTTTGTGTATAATAAATTAGTAAAACAATTATGACAAATAAAGGAAGTTTGATCATATATGCCTAAGCAGTACCACAATAAAATACCACAATAAAAATCCAAGAAAGTGTATTTTTTATATTGAAAATAAGTAAACAATAATACAATATCACAGGAGAGTTTCATCATTAACAGTCAACAGTTATACTTACTCTGAACTTCTTGTGACGAGGGTTTTTCCGTGTAGAAGCTCACCAAGGTTTTACATATCTGTTTCCTCACATCTCGACTTGGGACCCTCATCAGGTAACCTGAAAATAGCAAAACACGTTATAACAGACAAACTACGGATGTCAGTTGGCTGGGCCTTCCTACACACACAAGTTTGATATTGACAACATGCAAGACTGTCTCATTTTAACTATATTAAAAAGGTCTCAAGTTTTTCATTGCAATAGAAGTATAAAACTTTCACTGCAGAAAGTGAAAACTTTTTAAAGTTTATTTTTAACTAACTATTGTTTTTTTATTCATATATGTGTTCAATTACGTGTTTAGATAGCCTTACCAAGTTGGGATACAGATTCTGTGACAATTTGTTCATAGATGAGTTCATCCGAGGACTTCTCTTTGAGGAATGGCAGACTGCAAATTTTGAGGATATCACAGATGAGTGTTTCGTACATAGGTCGTTCCTGGGTTTTGTCCGAGCAGACATTCAGAACCTTGCAGACCTGGACTAAATCTTTCATTGGCTGAAAACTCGGTCAAGGAAATATACAGAAACTGCATTTTAAAAACTTCACATGGACACCAACACTTTGTAAACAAAACAAAAGTAGATTTATGTCTTGCAATATTACTTAAATGTGGGTTTTTTCATAATTTAATCTGGTGTTGTATCTTAATGATAAATGGAATAATTAATGTATCAATATCTGGCTTCTAAAAGCTTGCGATGTCTGAACATACACCAAGGTAGTATAGTAGGTCCCAGAAATAGCTGATGGGATAGATACTCATCTGACAGTAAAATATGTGACAGCCATGCATCCTAAAATCAGTTATTTTCTTAAAACTCAAGAGCAAACAGCAAAGATTTCATTTACGTGATCAAATGAAAACATTTTAGAAGCTTGATGAGGAACGTATGTATTAGAAGCTTGATTAGAATGTAGGTATTGGAAGGATACAAAGCCCTTTTCGTAGTGTCTCACAAGTCGCTGTAGTGCATTGATATGACGGTCATAAAGCATTACCTATAAAGAAAAAGGTAAGTTATTTTTAAAGCATTGCAACATCCTGTTTAGAAATGTAGGAGTGGATAAATGTCGTTTTTGCTCTAATCTTGTTATATTACTTAGTGGAAATACAATTAAACATTAACATGTGAAAGTAAAACAAACAAAGATGAATGAATTCTTCAGGAGGATGAATTAATAAAGAATTCAATTCCTTCTTTGAACAAAAAAACAATATTTCATTTATATTAAAACATAAGAGAATTTAACTTGCTGTCAAATTAGTTTGCGATTGTGTCTCATCTAATATTCAGTACACACTTACAGAATGTGGATCTGTCAACAACTTCACAACTCTGTTCATGTTGATTGGTTGAAGCTTAGAACCCTGAAACATTTGCGTACATGATCATGATATAATATTTGACGAGATGTAAAACATATACCAATAATGGACTATCCCGTGTCAACACTTATCCATTACTCAGTACAGAAAAATATCAAGAGACACATCAGACTCCTGGGTCTATCATCTTAAAACAGGATCGCCCTTAGGTCCATTAACATTTTAACTTGTTCGTCCTTGTTCCGTAAATATATTTACATTTTTACGTTTTCATTAAAACTACATTAATTCAGTAATAGTTTGAGTTTTACATGGGAAGCTTGACAGTGCTCAGAAAACGATGACATTTGTGACTAGTGACTACAAGCAAATATATGGCCCTTATAATTACCTTGAGTAGTCCTATTTCTTCGTCTGTAATTATGTGTTTTACGAGGGGTATAACAGGCTTTTCTGAGGTAACAGCCTGGGTCATGCTGTTGTTGGAGAACCCCACCGGGTTATACATTTGTGTAGCCGCCATGTTTTGTTTACGTTGTAAAATGTGAAACTTTATATACCGTTGAATTTATTCCTTTACAGCATATCACAAATAAAGATTTCCTTATATAGAAGAACTCTTCTGTTATGAAATGTCACAGATGAGTTATATCGTGCTGTCGTCTTTTTATAGTTGTCACTTAAAAAATATATCAGCCTTCTCCGTGAGGCAATGAAGTCGCCATTTTTTCATCGTTGCTAGGTAAACAACCGGATGTAGCAATCGAGGTTACTCCCCTTGAACAATTACAAGCACCTGTTGACAAATTATTAGAATTAAATTGAATTTATTCAAGAAAGCTCTAATAGGTACATAAAATAATATACTAGTAAAAATATGGACAAGCAATTCTGAATATTTGACAGGGGGGAAAAACATAAAAAAAATACGAACAAGTCAAAACTAAGTTTTTTATGGTGCAAGGGAAATAACTCTTTTAGTGATCTTCCAAATTCTCTCAAAGGGCCTGTTTCCAGTAATGTTAATTCTCCATAGGAGCCTGCCCCCGTATAATTTCTTATCTAGCTCAACTACTGTTTTTTTCTTTTCCGAAGAATAATTTTACACCTTTCCGACACCCAGATTTCATAATTTCAGTGAAAATGTATTTTTATAAAGTTGTCAATTTCAGCATCAAAGACATAAGTTCGTAAATAAAAGAAGGTTATCTCGAAATTGTAATTCGCAACATAGTATAAATTTCTTTTTTTAAAATCTATCACCGGGACAATAAATTTAGCTTATGTAAGATTATCGTAGAGAAACGGGAATTCGGATATGATTTTACTTAGATTGAAGAAGTCATATTAGTATATTCTGGCTTTAGAGAGACTTCATATATTTATTGAAAATACAATTAATATAAATATCGCTATCCCGAGGATCAAATTTCCAATCCAACATAATTCATATTCCAAACAATGTAGATGGCAATCTGGACATGTTACATCATCTAAGAAGTTTTGGAATTGTGTACTTGTTCTTAATTTTCGTGACTGATTCGTTCAGCTTTATTATGATTGAACTTTTTTCTTTTCAACAGTCTGTGTGAAGTTTAAGCGTCGATGAACTAGATATATCTGAGAAACTATTTTTAGTGACTTATATACAGAAATATCAATCGATACCTTATTTGAAAATCTGGTAATTGTTTGGTAAAGACTCTGTAGGAGAGGATCACATTAGGTATCTTAACGTATTTCAATATTCAATCATAGAGAAAACCATGTCATTAATTAAGGGAACTCTACCAAGTTCACCACAAACTACAATATTGGAAGTCGTTATATTAACCCCAGTATTTTGCATACAGAACCATATACAGCTCCGTAATATATGTTCATCTAGACCTTTAGATGCACATGAAGCCACTGACTCAATGTATGTTCGAACAGTGCGTTTGTCCTCTTTAATGTGTGCACGTTATGTAAATCATCTCAAGTTACAATTTAAACTCAGCATACATTCAATAAATACGTAAAATGACGAATAGCCTCTAGATCTATGTTGACACGTTTTGTCTTATCTTCTGTCCTCATTTAATCAATTCTAGTTTTCGACGTTTATTTCTAAATCATCATCTATATATGTACATCAGACAAAACCGCAAGTAAAGTAAAATAATCTTTACATATGTCATTGATACATAAATGATATAAAGTTAGGTCTACATTATCACCCTGGCTGACCTATGGAGACGTATATACTACATATTGCTATATACGTCTCTGGTTGACCTAGTCCAAATTATTCTGGCGTTTATCGACGACAGACCGATATAAAAAAAAGTCGATAAAACGTCAGAATAATTCGGAGTATGGTTGACCTAATGTTTGACAACATCGACTCTGAATATCCTGGAGACCCGATTGGATTTGGTATTTCAGTCTAATATCTTCTCAGTCTGTACTGTACACATCGGCATTTTCATACGTGTGTATTTGAACGAGTTACTGAAACCCGATGATTACTAAAGTGACGAATTTGCCTTCACCTCTAACGTTAATGTTGCACTTTTTATTTTATTTTTATTTTTATTAAAACGAGATTATTTTAGACTGAATGTTGTTGTGATATTATATTTTGGTCGTCGAACAATTAGCCAAGTGCTGATAAGACCATCTCTTTGTTATCATTGTTACCAGGTATGTTGATTTCTGATATCATTATAATATATCACATCAATGAAACGAAATTTACATTCATAACAAAACAGCAGAAGTGACACATTAATTAATTAATTTCTATTGATAAATGATTTTCTAAGATATCAAATAATAGGGACTTTTCTCACTCTAGCTTGTCATACATATATTCTTATTAATAGTAGTTATACAGTATAGATTAGTCCGAAATATCTGACGATCTCCATTAAATTTATCACGGGCGGATATATCATTTGTTTTCAAAATTATTCTAATAAATGTTCAATTGTAACGTAGATGTCTCTGACCGGTTATGCATTTCCTGAAATACATAAAATCAAGAAAACAGGAAAACATACGAGTGGCAGCACCAAAGTCACAGGGCACGCTTGTCAGTGGCGGTAAAGGAAAGCACAAAATTTACTGAACCAATTATCATCCTTCTTCACCCTAGTAACTACAACATAACGAAAAAACTCGTAAAAACATAATCCAATCGATTCCTAACCTAATTATTAAGTAAGAAGGAGTAACAACATTCTTAAGAAACCTTAATCCTTCCAAAGCGACAGAGCCAGATAATATTCCTAATCGTGTTCTTAAAGAGTGTGCAGACCACGCCTGAAATTCAATACAGAAACTCATTCTTTGCGCAAACAGACACATATTGGAACCACAGGAACGACAACACAGTCGGGGCGTTAGGAATAGGGGCATTAATCCCTATAGCTACTGGGATTAATATACAGTTAAAGGATGGAGTTGAGGGATATAGCAAGTTTCTGGTGTCCCGAGACCAGGTCTATTACCCGAGGCGAAGCCGAGGGAAATAGGCATGGTCAAGGGACACCAGACACTTGCTATATACCTCAACCCCATACTTTAACCGTTTTATTATACCGATACACACCGGAGAGATAGTTTTAACTAGAAAATATTTGTAAACCAAAGCTATATAGCTTCACGTCCCAACTACCCCTTTGATGGCGCTTCCGAGTTCGGTAGCAAGCTACGCCCACCTCGCGCGTCGCTTCCGAGTTCGGTAACAAGCCAGAGTGTAGGTGTGTTTTAGTTCCCAGACTAACACACACGATTTAACCAATTACTTTTATATAGAGTAAATAAAGTAGAGGTATAATAACTGAAGCTAAGCATCGCATGCGTACTAAACCATTTGCATTAAAGCATATAGATAGATCATTAGAAAGATAGATAGAGTGCATACATTAGACTCGGTAAAGTAATAAATATAAAACATAATATATGATTAAATGTGACAATTCTGCTGGTCTAATCTCATTTGGTAGGCTATTCCACACCTGGGCGACTTTAAAACGAAAATATTTCTTACCATATGTGGTAGAATTTACTCTTGGTATAGTCACAGTGTCAACCTTCCTAACATTATATAAAACTTGGTTTTTGTTGATAAGACTCTGTAAGAATTCTGGAGCAATATTATTTAAAATCTTGTATACTTCATTGGCCATGGTCTTCAGCCTACATATATGTAAAAAAAAAAAAAAAAAAAAAAAATATCTAGCTAAAAGATCTTTAATAGAGGAGCTATAATCATTATCAATAAAACGTAAAGCTCTTTCTTGTATCTTTTCGATTTTTCTGGTATTTCTAATACTGCAAAAATGCCATGAAAGAGGACAAAAGTTAAAATCAGATAAAATAAAAGATTTAAAAATGGTGACTTTGCCTTTTTTGTCAGATGATTTCCAATTCTCTTGTTGTTTGGAAGCCTTCCTACATAAGTTTGCCATATGATTTTCAAATTTTAGATCACTGTCAATTTCAACCCCAAACAAAGTCACACTATCTGTACATGTGATTTGGTGATCTCCAATAGTGAAAGATGGAATTTGCTCTTTTGATTTCTTTCCTATGCAGATGGCCTGGAATTTTTCTGGGTTTGCCTGCATGCCATTTTTGTAGACAAAATATATTATCTACACTGTGAAATACGCCGTCTTCTTTGTTAAGACGTGCTACATTTTAACGCGGACGCTGGCATATACAGCACAAGACAGGATACTAATATTAAATCGTTTTCTTCGAACTAAAAGGGTGCGAGATTAAAAAATAAATTACTTCGGTTAAGATTGACTGAGATATAGACCCGATCTCGCCCAGTTTATTGTAACAAGCTAAGGGAAGCAACCACATTATATAGGTGGCGTGACAGTGTAGGGAATCCCCATAAATTCCGTGATGGAAATAACAAAACAATTCGGTCAGACATTTTTAAAGGAAGAAAAAGGATAATATTCTGGATTTTACTCACAAATCCGGTAAGTTTAAGAAGACACGACCAATATAAAACTCTACTCTTCAATAATACGGCAATGTCAAACATGATTACAATGTTAATGTTTAGTAATTACGTAACGTTAGTTTGATGACTTCCCCATGAACCTACGAAATGCAAATGGCGGTAAACAAGGGAGTGTAATGGACATGGCCTACCACATGAACTTGGTTAGAAAGATATTATACTTTGTTATGATGTGGAAATTTCAGTTCATATGATAATTGATTATATTTAATGAATCTTTATGATGTGTTGTCGTTGGGCAAGATCATTCATTATATTAAGATTTTGTTGTCATTGTCAGCTGGGGTCAATTCTTAGAAAATTAGTCTGAAATGCTCAGTCCTTTAGCTATAGGCTATCCCATGTTTAATGTATCACCTTGGTACTGCTTCTCAATAAGCTACAATTGATTTTACATGACTGATTACATAAAAAACGGACAGCATTAGCTTCCAGAGCTATTACCGACAAACAAACATAAATTGAGGAAAGTCACATGACATGACGTCATGATCATGAGGACAAGCAGGTTTGCTAAAGGCTTTTTTGCCCCAACACATGACGTGTTTAAACGTGTATTTTTGAGTTAAAAAGAACCGAGTTGAAATGTTTTAAAATGATTGGAAAACTTACTGCATATATAGTGCATTCTGTAATACTGTATTACACAAATATGTACGTCTCTGATTCAGGTTTCATGAACAATTATTCTGTCGAAAAAATGTCAGGATGAGCTCAAAGTGTATATATGCTGTGTTTCATGTATAATGTTTACAACAATAATAATAGTCTTAATTTAAACTTGATTACATTATTATTGAGTCAAGGACTCGGATCCCATATGGTCAAGCATATTAAAAAATGTACATTATATACAACATGATAAAATAGTACTATGAATGGTTAATAAATTGGTAAGATAATTTTAAATGTATATTTTAAATCCACTAATATCACAGAAACAGCTTCAAATGAACGATGACCCGAGCTTTCCAGCGGTAGGGGAGAGCCCTACCAGCATGGTCAGCCGAGGTATTACTTAACTACGTTGTATATACAACAGTTAAGATAAATAAATAAGATAATGTGCTGAATTACACAAATTACACAAATGATGAGCATATATGTTTTTACCCATAAAATACTGTTTGGCACATTTCTTAAAAGATAATAGTCTTTTGCAGTTCTGTACATATGATGGTAAACTATTCCATATATATGGACCTTGATATGTAAAAGATGGGATATAAAATACATTATGTTTTGATGATCTTGTAGTTCTAAAATGGATATCGGATGTCAAAGAAAAATTGTTCATTTTTTTGAATGGAACATCCTAGCAATAAGTGACCTGACCATGGGGCTAACAGGATTTAGAGTGAAAAAAAACCCTGACACCATCTTAATCTGGCTTTGCAAGAAAAAAGGAAGATGTGTATTTTGTCTTAAAATTAAAACACATTCTGGTCATTGTAGTCAATTTAAATACTGGTCATGACCTAGTTGATCAATCTTTTAGAACTGTCTTTGTAACATGAAAAAGTAGGAAAATAATCATAGAGTTTTGTAGAATTTTTTCAGATAAGTCCTAAACATGAGTTTAAAAACTCAAGTTCTCAATATATTCTTGTGAATGGCCGGCCTACTTTAGCAAAGCACAATTTTTAAGACATTTTTTTTACTGCTAATGGCCCTCTGGTATGGCAGAAAAACATGGGTCTGATAGTGATATTTGTTTGTTACTTTTTATGTATCTTAATTTTCACACTATCAAATGTTCATATTAAACCTCAACTCTACAACCCCAGCAATGACATTGAATTATTGAATTTAAAACGTGTTTACATTTTCAGGACGCACAATGGATGAGGTAGGGGAGGGAATTTCCAGGGTGCCACTGCAGGCACCAGTAAAGAAAAGAAACCTTGGAAGGCTTCTTGTCGGTCAAAGCCATATTGGTAAATATACATTTTGTATTTTGTATGGCAAGAAACAGCTGGCATGATATAGATATCATGATTCAGATCTCTTGCAGGTTTACTATTTTATACGCCCATTGAAAGATGGGACATATTATGTAATCACGTGGGCGGGTGGGTGGGCGGCGGCAGGGGCGCGCTTGATGTCCTCCCGATTTATTCTACACCCATCATAAGATGGGACGTATTGCATACATGTGTATGTTATCACCTTGGCAAGTGGGGGGCTGGGCGCGCTTGCTTGGTGTCTGCTCGATATCTAACAATTTTCAATAGATTAAATTCAAATTTCATAAGAAGGTTCATTACCATAACAGCTTAGACAAGTTCGACAACCACCAATATCCAACATAAACTCACAGAGTTAGGGCCCTTTATCCCCTTTCCGAAACGGTGTCCGCACTATATCATATCTCGAGTAGTTTTCATTTGATTCACTTCAAACTTTATAGGAAGGTTCATTTCCATGATAGTTGGGACAAGTTCGATTTGTTGGGCCGTAATTTACGGAGTCATGGCCCTTTATTCCTTTTTCCAAACAGTGTCCGCTCCATATCTGGAGTAGTTTTCAATGGATAAACTTCAAACTTCATTGGAAGGTTCATTACCATGATAACTTGGACAAGGTTGATAACCTCAATTATTGGACCGTAATTTACAGAGTTATGGCCCTTTATTTAATTGCCGAAACAGTGTCCGCTCGATATTATTGAGTACTTTTCTTAGGAATAACTTCAGACTTGACAGGAAGGTTCATTGCAAACTTGATAGGAAGGTTCATTGCAAACTTGATAGGAAGGTTCATTGCAAACTTGATAGGAAGGTTCATTGCAAACTTCATAGGAAGGTTCAGTGCCATGGTAGCTCAGACAAGTTCTATGACCACCATTGCCATGGTAGCTCGGACAAGTTCTATTACCACCATTGCCATGGTAGCTCGGACAAGTTCTATGATCACCATTGTCATGGTAGCTCAGACAAGTTCTATGATCACCATTGCCATGGTAGCTCAGACAAGTTCTATGACCACCATTGCCATGGTAGCTTGGACAAGTTCTATGATCGCCATTGCCATGGTAGCTCAGACAAGTTCTATGACCACCATTGTCATGGTAGCTCGGACAAGTTCTATGATCACCATTGTCATGGTAGCTCGGACAAGTTCTATGATCACCATTGCCATGGTAGCTTGGACAAGTTCTATGACCACCATATGCATTGCCATGGTAGCTTGGACAAGTTCTATGACCACCATTGCCATGGTAGCTAGGACAAGTTCTGTGATCACCATTGCCATGGGAGCTCGGACAAGTTCTATGACCACCATTGCCATGGGAGCTCGGACAAGTTCTATGATCACCATTGTCATGGTAGCTCGGACAAGTTCTATGACCACCATTGCCATGGTAGCTCGGACAAGTTCTATTACTACCATTGTCCAACGGTAATTTATGGAGTTATGGCCTTTCATGTACAACCTACATACAACTTCTCATTCAATGTAAGACAGGCATATTATGTTCCCCTTTTGGGTACCCATGTTGGAAATTAAATAGACAAACCCAGAGATAGTTTATAAGTGATGGGCAATTGGTTTAAAATCATAATCGATAATTGGTTTGTAATCGGAGGAAGTAAACCAATTGATGATCGATTGCAGAAATGTAATTGGCTATAGTACATAATTTTATTAGACTGAATAGCCAAATCAAACGAGAACACTATTTTTAGGTCACCTGAGCTTTGCTCAAGTGACCTATTCTAATCGCTTTTCGTCCGGCGTCGTGCGTAAACTTTTACATTTTCAACTTCTTCTCAAGAACCAGTGGATGGATTTTTTTCAAACTTGGTCAGAATCATCCTTGGTAGATGAGGCTTCAAAATTGTAAAATTGGGATTCCTACCAAAAATTGTAAAATTGGGATTCCTACCCCAACATCTGGGGCCAGGGCGGGGCCCCAAAGGGAAAATTAATCAATATTTCAAAAATCTTCTTCTCCAGACTCAGAGGTACTACACTGATTTTCTCTA